ATTCCCAGCTTACTAGTAAGCTCTTGAAACCTTTACGAGGGAAGTCCCTTTATTAGAATATCAGCTAATTGATGTCCAGAAGGGATGTTTGGAGTGGTAATCAACCCGCTATCAAGCTTCTCTTTGTTTATATGGCGGTCGACCTCAATATGCTTAGTCCGATCATGTTGAACTGGATTATGAGCTATACAAATGACGGACTTATTATCACAAAACAACTTCATAGGTCCTTCACATCTTATTTTAAGATCGCCAAGTATAATTCTCAACCATAATAATTCACAAACGCCTTGAGTCATAGCTCGAATTTCAGCCGCTGTACTTGATCTGGCAACCACGTCCTGCTTCTTACTCTTCCATGTCACTAGGTTACCACAAAGAAACATACAATAACCAGTGGTAGATCGACGATCAGTTACGGATCCAGCATAATCAGCACCGGTATAAACTTCTAAAGAGAGATTGCCATTACGCCGGAACAACAGTCCTTTACCAGGAGTGACTTTAAGATATTGAAGAATTCTCTCCACTGCCTGCATGTGTTTTTCTTTTGGATTATGCATGAACTGACTTACAATACTGACAGCATAAGCAAGATCTGGTCTAGTATGAGCTAAATATATCAGTTTCCCAACTAACCGTTGATATTGTCCTTTATCAACTGAATGACTCTTCTCTTCATAACCCATCTTGTGATTCTGCTCAATAGGAATATTAGAGGGTTTACATCCAAGTTTTCCCGTTTCTTTAAGAAGATCAAGGACAAATTTCCTTTGGCTGATGAAAGATGAAAATTCCTTCCTTTGAATGAGCTACCTTTATCCCTAGGAAATATTTCAATCTCCCAAGATCTTTAATTTCCAACTCAGAGGCTAGCCGTGCTTGTAGAAAATGTTTCTCCGCAATATCATCATCTGTTATAATAATATCATCAACATATACAAGGAGTACAATTAGCTTCCCATCTTGGGAGTGCTTGAAGAATAATGTGTGATCTTCTTGACTCTGTTTATATCCTAAGGCCAACATTACCAGTAAATCTCCCAAACCAGGCACGAGGAGACTGTTTCAATCCATACGAGGCCTTTTTTAACCTGCGAACTTTATTTCCTCCATCCATAGAGCCAAAGCCAGGTGGGATTTTCATGTAGACTTCTTCTTCTAACTCACCATTAAGGAAAGCTTTCTTCACATCAAATAGATTCATATCCCAGTTGTAATGGGCAGCAAGGGACAACAAAGCTCTCACAGTATTCATCTTTGCCACTGGGGCAAAGTTTCTTCATGATCAATGCCATAGGTCTGAGTGTAACCCTTGGCAACTAACCAAGCATTATATTTCTCAAGAGTACCATCAAAATTATATTTCAAGGCATAAACCCATCTGCACCCTACACTTTTCCTATCAGGTCTATCAACAACCTCCCACGCTTTATTTTTCTCCAAGGCATGCATCTCATCTTGCATGGCTTGAGCCCAATTCTCATCTTTTAATGCTTCATGTACTGATTTTGGGATTGAGATAAAATCTAGTGCTGAAATAAAGCTTTTGTGCCTCACAGAAAGGTTAGGAGAAGAGACAAAATGAGAGATAGGGTATTTCGTACAAGATCTTTTCCCTTTTCTTAGGGCAATAGGTAAGTCATCAGAGGTACTGGATAAGCTATCAGAAGCAACATGCAAATCATTAGATGCAACAATATTAGGTTCAGAAACAGGAGAAGTAATAATATTAGGATCAGAAAGAAGAGATTCAGGACTTACCAGTAGTTCAGACGATTGAGGTTGCTGGTGAAGCAGTGTGGGCTGCTTTCTCCTATGACGATTCTTTCTCTCAGCAACTCCATTTTGTTGAGGGGTGTCCACACAAGTAAGTTCATGAATCATGCCCTGATCTTGGATGAATTTGGAAAGACGCTGATTGACATATTCGGTACCATTGTCAGACCTTAGTCTTTTAATTCTTTTTCCAAATATGGTCTCAATCATTTTATAAAATCGAAAGAATACTGTGGTACCTCAGATTTTTCATGCATTAAATAAACCCAGGTTACACGAGTACAATCATCAATGAAAGAAACAAACCATTTATTACCAGAAGCATGAGGAACTTTAGAAGGACCCCAAACATCTGAATGAACAATATCAAAAGGCTCAACACTTTTAATGGTACTAGAAGGAAAAGAGACACGATGGTGTTTAGCAAACTCACAAACATCACAATGAAAACACTCAACAGACTTAAGCAAAAATAATGATGGAAATAAAGACTTAAGCAAATGAAATAGAGGATGCCCCAAGCGTTTATGATGGAGCCAAATCAAAGAGTCGGCAGTAGACTGGGATTGAGTCAACAAGGTGTGATCCTTAGCATACTTTCAGAAGATTCTGGCACCAGATAGTACAGTCCACCTTGTTCCTTAGCAACCCCAATTGTCTTTCCCATGGTGAGATCCTGAAAGCACAGTGAGTAAGGAAGAAAGTTACAGTCCAATTCAAATCTTTGGTAATTTTATGGATAGAAAGAGGATTAGTGGAGAGTTTGAGAACATAAAGAACATTTTAAAGATGTAAGGAAGGCTGTAAATATATGTTATCGGAACCCGCAACTGATGTTTGTGAGCCATCAGCTACGACTATTGTATGGGTGCCAATAATAGGGTTATAAGAAAGAAAGGAGTCAGCACAACAAGCCATATGATCAGTAGCATCAGAATCGATAATCCAAGAATGTTTAAAATCAGTACAAGAAGTAAGAAAAGAATGAATAGTGGAGCTCATACTAGTCATAGCCAAAGCACTAGTATTAGATGGCTTACTCAGAGAATCAAGCATAGTCCGAATCCGCTCCAACTCATCTCGGCGAATAGAAATAAATTTCGAAGATGCACCATTTGAACCCGCCATAATGTTGAGGTGAAAATCACACAAACGCAAATCCAAATGATGTCTGACCGAAGAGAAAACACAGATCTGGAAAGGGGAAACAAAACCAAGCAAATCTGTCCTGGAACAGTTTTCTTTTCTTTTCTTTGCGTGAACAGTACCCGATGAACAATGAGTGTGAACAGTGCGCGCGGTGAACAGTACCACGGTAGAAAAAGAGTAAAATAATCAGATCTGATCAAAGGAGGTGCGAGTGGGCAAAAAGATCCGATTTTTTATGACGAGATCAAAGACCCACTGCTGGAAACGTTCGTAGATTGATTGATCTGGAAAAACGGAGTCAAACAGTGGTCCTCTTGGTCCAAAAGGTCCCCGGAAAAATTTTCTAGTGGCGGCGAGAGGCTAACAAATAGGATTCTGCTCTAAAGGCGGCAGTAGCGGAAGCAGAGCCCTCAGGATCGATTGCGCTGATACCAAGTTGAAAAAGGGATAATCTTATTGAAAAAAAAATTGTTTTTTTACATCTGTAAAGAACCAATTCAACCCAAAAGCTTAAGCTATTGGGTGAGGCTACTTTAATGGTTTTATATATCTCAACACGCCCCCTCACGCGAAAGCCCACTGGGCTTGAAGGGTGGACAATGCACAGGCCCACCTACCTGTGCGAAGAAAGAAATTCCACTACAATGAAAGTAGGGGCGGTGAGGTTCGAATCCGGGACACGAGGCTCTGATACCATGTAAAGAACCAATTCAACCCAAAAGCTTAAGCTATTGGGTGAGGCTACATTAATGGTTTTATACATCTCAACAACATCTGTACAATTGCTCTCTGTTTAAAGAGACTAAATAACCTAATGGGCTAAGCTCAAAGAAGATTATAGAATGAAAATAAATAAACAAATACTATTATTTACAATAGTTAGACCCCATTTATTGAGGGTATTTTCAGCTTATTTACTGCATTAAATACATACGATACATTCCCTGTTTGGATGAGCTTATTAAAACAGCTTTTGAAACCCATTTAAGCTGCATTGGGCTTATTTTCATAAGCTAGAAATTGAAAGTTATGAAAATAAATCTTTGCACTGGGAAAATCAGCTTTAGGAAGTATTTGTTTTTATAATAATTTCTAACTAAATTAATGTTAATGAATTTTCAAAATTCCATTCCTACGTAAGTGCTTCTAAAAGTATCTATCAAAAGAGATTCATCTTATTTCAAACTGCGATTATCACAATAGAGCTTTTTTGATGAGCTCTACAGTGTACACAATTAAGTTCTTAAGCTGTTTAATATAGAAGGGTGCGTGTGTGTAGGTTGGGGGTGGGGCAATCAGGGATGGCTGGAGTCATAGGACATCTTTAGTGTTCTCCTAATTTACTATCCTATGCTTACACTGTTTCTATATTTCATTTAATAATTCTGTACTCGGAGCTTGCTCCTAGTTGTCCCATTCTATTTTTCTTACTGATAATTCAGAACCTATCAGGACCTTATTAGTCTTCATTAATAGCTTTGTCACAAGAAATGAGTTGCAAGAGATGATTAAGTTTGGCTACTGACTTGATTTTTTTATGGTATAACGACTATTTTACCTTCATTTTGCTTTTGTAAACTCTTTTGCCCAATCCAAGTCATCTATGTCAATATTTACATATTAGTGGTACCAACTGCAAGGTGTGGCCAATTTTTTTTGGTCCTATCATACTCAATTCTATTAGAGGATGAGCCTCGAGCAATAATAAAGTTGTTCTTTGGTGACCCCGGGTCATGGGCTCAAACCCAAGTAATAGTCTCTTTGCAAATATGCATGGATAAGACTGCGTACAAAGATTTTCCTCGTAAGTCAAGGTTTAATGGAGACTGTTTTTTTAAATCATCATACTCAATTCTAGGAAATATATTACTTTTGCCTTTAAAATAATCTGTCCTGTTAACAGATTTGGCTAATTTGTTATTTCTATTTACATTTGAGGTATCGAGTGCATCAGTGTGTCTGTGTGTGTGTGTGTATCTGTGTGCTAGGAGTGCTGTTTCTGTAAATTTCCCTTGCTTGATATCGTTCATTATTGTGATAGCAGTCATGATCTGCTTTGGTCTTTTACATAGGATATGATGCTGAGAGATGAGGCCAATCATGGAGCTGTGAAAAAGTTGAACAAAAAAATTGTTCAGCTTCAGTCACATATTTCTTACTGCATCCGTCATTCTTTACGGGTAACGGTTTCTACTTAAAATTTGAACTACATTTATTGTCTTTATTTTCTACTTTTTACAGTGTATTCTGATTGACCCTTTAAATGTTTCAGGCATATGTTTCACTGTTGTACCTCCGAAAATTTTCTAACTTCAAAATTATACTAAGGGGAAAACCTGTGGACCAATTTGACATTTTGGATGAGTTAAAATACTCAGAAGTAATTAGATACAAGCCCCAGCAAGCTGTGGCATCAAATGAGGTTAGATTCATGGTGTGAGAGTAGAAATTCAAAATCATTTAAAGCAATTTTATGTAGCACTTCCATGAAATTTCCTTCATATTCCTTATAAATGAAAGATCATTTCTTAGGTGAATAGAAGTCTGCATGACATAAAGCCTATTTATTTGGATCTTTAGCTACAGACATTGAACGAACAATTTATAAGCAGTGCTGTTAGTTAACTAGTGGAGTGGTTATTCTTCATAAATTCAAAATATTTTTCCCGATTATTTTTGTTTTTTATTTTTTATTTATTTATTTATTTTTGTAATTTCCCCACTGATAAGCCTCATAATACTAAAGTACATGAGGGAAGGGCCAAGAAAGGAAGCAGCAGAATATTGAGGAATATTCCTGCAGTAAGAGTGGAGCAGAATGAAATTGATGAGTTGGCAGAAAGAGAAGGCAAAAAGGACTCCATTAGTGGGGTGTAAAAGGGGGAAAGAGAGGAGAAAGGTAGGCAGTTTGGAATGATGAAAGATTTGGGAGGAGCTGACCCTCGAATATCTGCTCCTGTTTTCCCTTCATTTCCTTAGTGAATCTTTTTCATTTTTCTGTGGATTGATTTTCTTTCATATTTGTATCAGACTATCAGAAGTGTTTTATAAATAACTGTTTATTTGTCTGGTACACAATTCCCAGTAACATTTAATTAATTAGGAAAACTTTTTTTTTTCCCTGAATTTTCAAACTAATGACTTTGGTCTCCTTTAGGCTGTGGTGGTTACAACCATTGGATTTATAAAGGAGGCTCCTTCTCTTAATGTTTCTGGATTTAATGTGTACCACAAAAATCGCCTAATCAAGGTATGTTCTGAGTGCTTGAAATGCCGATCTCTATTTTAGCTTTGCTTTGTTTTTGCAAAAAAAAAAAAAAAAAAAAAAATTAATCTGAATATACTTTTATTATTTACAATGTCAATTGAAAATGGAAGTTTAGGAACTTTACATTGTTTTGTTGGTAGAAGTTCAACTACAACAGAAATTTAATCGTTAGTGTATTATTTACGCATGCAATTCTGATGCTGATGTGATTAGCCTTTTTGTGAGGATGCAGCCCTTTTGGAAAGTAACTGGGGACGGTTCATCTAAAGGGAATGGTGTTGTTGGTATATTCCTATTCTTATCCAATGTTGAGTTCTCTGTGCAAGCATTTACTCCAAAGTTTCCTCTTTTTTTAATATACTGGTACATGTTTAGGAGTGCTTGAAGCCAATTTCATAGAACCAGCACATGACAAGCAGGATTTTGAGAGATCATTGTTGTTCATAAGGCTTGAAGCCAAGCTGAAACAAATGACAATGGATTACTGGTTGTTGTTTTATATTACCTAGTGTATCCTGAACAGTTTTGTTTTATTTTCTTTATATTTGTATTTTTCAGATTGTGTAAAGCTTCCAATGTTGAATTTGTTTATATTTAGTATTTGATATTGCTTAATGCTTCCTTAATGACTGTTCATGTGTTGGCCGACCAATTTATGGGGTTTGTGACTAATTTTATTAGAAAAATGATTGCATTCGATGCTTTACATTTTGATTTTCTGTTATCCTTCTTGGAGTTTTACTCTTAGATCGAGTTACAACTTATATAGAAGTAAATAACGGTAGCCAAGAGCTGCATTCATTTCAGTAGTGGTTAGCTACTTTGCTTCACAACAGGGCTCCTTGAAAAGAATGTGTTGGATAAAGTTGGCCATGGAAGTAGATTATATTTGCCGTTGTAGATTCCTATTTTATCCTTATGTATACTTATTTTTTATTGGGTTTCTTATTTCTCATGTCACAGGAGATAAAGTTATCTTCTGCAACCCCAAAACTGCATCGTTTTGAGGGTTGGGGGAATTAATGTAGGGTGTTTTGGTAAAATTCATATAATAAAGAAACAAACAAAATTACTGAAACACTCTTCATTAATCCCCCTAACCCTCGAAACGACGTCGTTTTAGGATTGCAAGAGATAATTTTATTTTCTGTGATAGAAGAAACAATAAACCTTTTTTTTTATGTATATATATTAATTTGTTCTTATTTATTATTTATTTTTCTTTAATCTGCTCGTGCTTTTATATGGGTTCAACAATTGCTGACATCAACAAGTTTGATATAAGAGCAATGTGATGTTGATGTTCAACTTCTTTAGTGGTGACAAATCCCAAGAATAAGTACAAATAGTATTTACTAGAATGAGAATTAGAGTGACTGTAGATTAGTTGAAGCATTATCATCTGCTGTATTATCAGACAGTTGACAATAATAAATAAAATTTGTTTTCATGACAATAAGATTCCTGATACCTCTTTTCCAGAATACCAATATTATGAGTTTGACATTGTTTAATTTTGGTAAATTTGTTCTGAACTGGACAGGAAAGGTCACTGTCACTTGGTTGGATTTCAGCCACCAAATTTCAGATCACAAAATGTGCAAAAGGAAGTTCACATTCGACAACCAGCTGGACGTTCAACTAATTCACAGAATGAGTTGCTTGCAGAAAATTTTAGTTTCGATCAGCCAATTGTGAGTCTTCCAGCGACTGGCATGCAGCGTTTGAGTCATGAGCAGCATGTAAGTAGTTGATTTAATCTGCAAAAGGCCATTTTTGTCTAATGTACAGCCTGAAATCATACTTGCTGCTATATGCAGGATGAAAGATATTGTTCTTGTGAATTTTTTTTTCACATTTTTTTAATATTGAACTCAAATAGATGCATACCATAGTCAATAATGCATTCTTACCTGTTAAAGTTGTAGATGATGCTTCAGAGTTGTCAGGGCTTATTCTCTTGAGAACTCTTCTAATGTCTAGCGTTGACAAATCAGAGGATGATGTGAATTTTGAAAACGTGTAACATACTTATCAAAGCTCAGTTGATTTAAGATTTCACTTGTCAGCTTAGCACTTCAGTAGATTGCATTTGGATTTGATTGAATTTTAATGTGAAATGATTTTACGTTGCTAAATGTAACCCAAGATTGTTCAAGAGTGGGGTCATTTAAACTTCAATCAATGCCTGACCTTTTTTCCCTTGTCCATTTATTATCTTTAAATTGAAGAAATGTTCAGTTAAGTGAATGGCTTATCAACTTCTAAACGGCATAGCAATTACTAGAATCACTAACATCCATATTTGATGACTCTACAGTCTTAATGTATCTTTGATATCCGAGTTCAAGAGGGAGGCAAAAAGGAAAAGTGCATATCTTTGTCTTTTTTTCCCTGCATTAGAAACAATCATGACTGTGTGTCTCCTGTATAGCTACTTCTCCAATACCCTTGTCCTTTCCTTTATCAAAGCCTTTTATTTCATGGAATTCTACCCCTAATTCTATACTAAGTTGGTTGATCAGGATTACTGGGTCTAATGATTTTTTGACACATACTTGAAATGGCTTAAATCTGTCAGAATAGAATTTACACTTACAGTATCTTGGCCACTTTCTTATTCCTTTCTTAAATGAATATTATAAAGAACCAAATCAACTCAAAAACTTAAACTGTTAAGTGAAGGCCTCTTTAATGGTTTTATATATCTATAACACGCCCCCTCACACGAGAGTCAATTGTTCTTGAAGGGTGGATGCACAGGCCCACCTACCTAAAAAACCACAAAAATCACTTCCCGTTTAACCCGACTAGCAAGTGTGAGGTGGAGACAATCCTTGTACGCAGCCTTACCCTTGGATAATTGCAAAGAGGCTGTTTCTTGGATTCGAACTCATGACCTTTCAGTCATGAAAGAACAGACCCACCTACCTGTGCTAAGAAATTCCACAAAGAAAATAAGGGGCGGCGATGATCGAACCCGGAAGACCAAGGTTCTGATACCATGTAAAGAACCATTTCAACTCAAAACTTTAAGGTGTTAGGTGATGACTTTTTTATTGGTTTATATTATTCTCTAACACACTCCTCACACAAGAGCCCCTTGGACTTGAAGCGTGGATATTGCGCAGACCTAATTTTTTTTGTTTACCTTGTGCTTATTTAATTCCACTAGAAAGTGGGGGGAAGTGAGGATCGAACTCGTGACCTTGTGGTCACTGAAGTGTTGGTACTATGTAAAGAACCAAATCAACCCAAAAGTTTAAGCTGTTAAGTAAAGGCCTCTTTAATGGTTTTATATATCCACGCTTCTAGTCCAAAGGGCTCTTGCACGAGGGGTGTATTGGAGAATAATATAAACCATAAAGGCTCTCACCCAATACGTTATGGTTTTTGGTTGAATTGGTTCTTTACAAATATGATATAGATACTAGATAGAGCAAATGATTTGCATTACTTTTTATGGTTGATAGTGCCAGCTAGTCTAGATGTAGCAATTGTGTTAAATTTTAAGAATTGGCTTCTACATGAACCTAACATGAAGGGAATCTTAATTTGATAGCCATGGATTGCAACAATGTTGAGATATATAAAATCATTAATGTAGCCTCACCCAACAGCTTAAGCTTTTGGGTTGAATTGGTTCTTTACATGGTATAAGAGCCTTGGTGTACCGGGTTCGATCCTCACCGTCCCCACTTTCTTTCTAGTGGAATTTCTTTCTTCGCACAGGTAGGTGGGCCTGTGCATTATCCACCCTTCAAGCCCAGTGGGCTTTCGTGTGAGGGGGCGTGTTGAGATATATAAAACCATTAATGTAGTCTCACCTAATAGCTCAAGCTTTTGGGTTGAATTGGTTTTTTACATGGTATCAGAGCTTCAGTGACCATAAGGTCAAGAGTTCGATCCTCACTGCCCCCCACTTTCAGGTGGAATTAAGAAAAGCACAAGGCAGATCAAAAAAATGGGCTTGTGCAGCACAAGGCAGACCAATAATGGGCTTGTGCCATTTCCACGCTTCAAGCCCAAAGGGCTTTTGCGTGAGGGGGTGTGTTAGAGAATATAATATAAATCATTAAAAAGACCCCACCCAAAACCTTAAGGTTTTGGGTTGAGATGGTTCTTTACATGTTATCAGAGCCTCGGTGTACCGGGTTCGATCCTCACCGTCCCCACTTTCTTTCTAGTGGAATTTCTTTTTTCGCACAGGTAGGTGGGCCTATCATTGTCCACCCTTCAAGCCCAGTGGGCTCTCGTGTGAGGGGGCGTGTTGAGATATATAAAACCATTAATGTAGCCTCACCCAATAGCTTAAGCTTTTGGGTTGAATTGGTTCTTTACAAATAATAATTTCTACTAGAAACTAAGATCTTTTTGTGCCTGACATTTCAACTGCGGTGTGGAAATTAAATTTGTTGGTGATCCTTGCATGCATCTCTTATGCCATAGTGCAGATGATAATCTCAGCAAGAGGCTACAGTTTCTTTTGTTTTTTTCTTGGTTCTATATGCGCTTGTGCAGATCTTTAAACAGGGCATAAAGGTAATGACAAAATGATAAATTGCACAAACTACATCCCTCTCCCCAACAACCAATCCTTATCCTAGTAGATTTGTAGTCGGTTGCTGACTAACACACACAACCCCTTCTTTATTAGGGCCTGGGACTGGCTATGTAAACTGCAGATCTCTACCAAAAACTAGAAAATTTTAGTTTATATGCAACCAATGAACAAAATATGTTTTCTTTTATTTTCTGAGTGTAAGTATGCTACTTTTTGGGGCTCATGACATGTGTTGTTTCATTCAACAGGATACATCTATTGGAACTGTAGGGTCTGTATCTGCTGATAAAATCTGTGAAGAGAACATAAAACTCTTCGTGAGGTAAATATCTCTTTCAAATTGTCTGTACCGACAAATCAAATATTTGTTATTGTAATCGTTGTTATATTTATTGACAAGCTACACATGTTCTTTAAATGTAAAACGCTTGATCAACCTCCTTTCCTGGTCGAATCTTATACATCAGCCAAAAGCTTATTGACTTTTTGTTGTTACTTCTCCTACTTGTGGCAAGAATGTGTAATTTTAAGCCTCCTTGGTACTGTTTTCTCTTGGTTTTCTGATTTTGGAGGTAATCTTACTCTTCCGGCAGTTGTATTCTCTTAAATTTACACATATATGGATGGATTAGGATCCATTGACACCGGAAACATCAAAAACTTTCCTACGCCAATGAATAACTTATAAATGGATGTTTTTGTCATAAAATCCATCGGAAATTTGTTTCATGTATGTAAAAAAATAATATAAACCATTAAAAAGACCCTCACCTAACGCCTTAAGGTTTTGGGTTGAAGTGGTTCTTTATATGGTATCAGAGATTAAGTGATCATAAGGTCACAAGTTCGATCCTTACTGTCCTCCACTTTCAAGTGGAATTAAATAAGCACAAGGTAAAACTAAAATAAAAATAAAATTGGGCCTGTGTATCATTTACATGAAATTTCACATTAATCCACTATTTTATACTCCATCAAGATATCTTAATTTTGGTATACAATATACTTTTCAAATAATTAATCATTAATAACTTTATAGCACGTTGACTGTTTAAATTTTCTAAAATTCTGGCATGCAAGGTTAAAATGATAATCATTTTGGTGTATATACCTTTTCTTAAGGTCCCCCGGCTTCTTGCTTGCTTGTTTTATTGTTGAATAGAATCCCACTAAAGCCCTTTTCTGCAGGTGTGAAGAGTATAGAGAAAAGGAGACAGAGTTGAAACAGACGGTAATATATTATTTAGATAGCAAAGTTTGATGATTATGATTAAAATAGTCAGTGTGTTTTAATTTATTAGTGTTACTATTTTAATTTATTATTGTTGCTGTCATAAAATAGGTTGAGGGCTTGGAGGAGGAGTTGAAAGAAATCCAAAGGAAGCGTTCCCATCTTTCTTCACTCTTAGAGGCTAAAAGGAAGCAGAAGAGTGGAAAGGGACAATAATTACGTTAGACAAGCAACATGTTAATGAATGACAATAATTAAGTTAGAAATAATACTCAAACCAATTCAAACACTAGCTTGAAATGTGTTAAGTTTCGAGATTTCTTACTCCATCTTCCTTTTGTTCTCTGCTAGAAATTTCATGGTGGGTGAGAACGGTAATGTTGTTCTCACGATTTTGACTCATTGATGGTTTTGAACATTTGCTTAAAGAATTGCGTTGCACAAAGTCATAGAGTGGAAGTCTCAAGTTCAACCAATTGGTTTGCTTGCGAACCTCAAAACAGTGTCATTCAAGCAGCAGAAACAGCCCAAGATCCCGCTTGTACTTCCCCAACAGCTTTGCCTCGCTGGTGCCGTTAAGCAGAGGAGGGGGAGTTCAGCTTTGTAGCTTTGTGACAATGGTGCCGTTGAAAGATGAGCAGCATCCTCATCAAGTAATCCTAGAGCTTTGAAGTTCTATTGGAGATTCTAGTTTCTTAAACTAGCTCTATTATTCCTTTGCCAAAGACAAGGATAATTCGAGGAAGTTCAACTTGAAGTTCATGTCATTTCTAATTAGACTATTAATTGTGAAGTAATGAGGTTTGGATAAATACAATTAACAGAATTATTTGCGTTCAATAATTAACCAAAACCTTTCACACAAAAATTCTATTGGATTGGATTGAAATTCATTTTACCAGTTCGCTTTATTTTAGCGTGGTTCAGTTTAATTTTGTAATTTGGTTCGATTTGATTTGTAACTGTTTTTGCACATCCCTATTTTTTGTATCATTGTTGTGATTTTTAGTGTTCTAGCGATCATGTGAAAAAAGACGTACTCATTTTTTTCTAATTTAAATGGCAGATGATGTTTAGTCTATCAACGTAATTTTTGTGTTTAGGCTGGTTAATAGCAACAGATAATACTACAGTATGTTAAAATATAATTTTTTTTTTTTAAACCTTGAAGTTTAAATGAACATTTTTGTTAAAATAAAGAAATAAAAGTTCATTATAGTATTTTTAGTGTTACATAATTGAAATTTTTTTTATATGCCTTTCTTTATTTTTATTATTGATATAAATTTAATAAAATACAGATTATACTTTGGTGTTTAGTTCTTTTTCAACTTATCCCATTTTAGTAAAATCTTCATATACTATGTGAAATGAAATTGTTAATGCTCTAAGTTAAAACAAGCGAAAATATCACTTGCACATAATGTGATTTGTTTTTATTTTCTCCTTATTTCTTAGCTATCACAACAGTCGATACATATTACGTTATCTTATTTCTAGTTATAATTCAAATAAGTTATCTTATTTTACGAGTACACTTATCTTATTATTAGTTATGATATTTCAAATTGTGTTATTGAATAATTTTACTTTATCATTTCGAAGATGTAAGCGGTTATAAAATAAACAGCCTATCATTATTATTATATATACTAAGGGAATAAACAACATTAGAAAGTTTGATGATGTGTCACTCCCTCCTTCAATTTCACCAATGTGTTCGCACTTGAGAGATGTTTGAAAAGTTTCTTCTTTTGGTAATTTTTTTTAATCGAAAATTAATATTAAATAAATAATAATAAAATAAATCAAAATTCGAAATTAAGGAATTAGTGGAGACATCTAATTAATGCCCCACTATCATTTCTACATTGGAATTGTAAGGTTTTTAATTGAAAATTATTGGAAGATAAAAAGTTTATTAATGATATTGGAAATTATAATAACTAAACAAAACTTTTAGTTCCTCCTCTCTCTCAATTATTCTTATAAATACCAAATTTTCAAAATGACATCTTTATTTTTCCCTCACAACACCTTTTTCAACTTTAATTCTTCACTCAAACCCATCCTTTCCTTTCCCCTCATCCACTCTCATTCTATTTCTCATTTTCTTGAACATTAGTCACGGACCCGTTACCTCTTTCCAGTCAAAGAGGAAGCAAGATGAGAACTTTAACGAAAAAGGGATTGGACTGAAAAATTACTTGAAACAACTCCAGCAATACCCTTTGAGAACAAAGGTCCCTCTTCTTCATTTATTACTGCATCTATCTCATTTTTAATTTCCCTTTACATGGCTTGCTTTCCTTGCTTCTTTTTTTCATCCATTTTCATTGACCTGTTATTTTGTTATTCCTAAAGAGCTACCTTTAATGGTTCACATAATAGATTGTTGTAGGTGGCTAGCGATTAGCATCAGGGATTTTTTTTTTTATATAGTTCTTTCTCTATTGATGCTTATGTTTCAGGGGTATCAGTGAGGAAAATGCAAAGAATGCATAATGGTGGAAAAGAAAAAAGATCAAGGCTTTATAATGATGAAAGCAAGCAATCTACCATGAAACCAATATCATCAATGAAATTAGGGTTAAAAAGAAGAAGAACGGTTTGTGTGTATATTAGGTGGAGGATGAAGATATGGGTTACCCTCTTTTTTTCTTTTATTTGTTTGTACACCATGCAATTGTGACTTTATAATAACCAAAAGGATATATTATTATATATCCTTTCATTTATTTATTTATTTTTCTCTTCACTCAACATAATTACTAATATCTTTTGTATATCCAAAAAAATAATAAATTTCCTTTATTTTTTGTATGACTTTTATGATGTATCCTTTGTTTATCCTTTTTATTTTCTTTTTTTCTTTTGCAAAATTAAATAATATTAAAAACTTATTTCGATATAATTTTCCAAAAATTAATATGCTTTAAATGTAAATAAAATATTAAAATTCAAAAAACATCTCATAATAAAAGAAAATAACTTTTGAAATTGTGCAAACCTGAATGTCTTGAAAATTTCAAGGAATTCCTATTATAATTCTGATTGCGTGGAAAATTTAAAAGGTCACCGTAGACATTTTCAGAACACAAAGTAATTATATTACGAGGAGTCTTTTAATAGTTAAAGAAAATAATAGTAATTAATATACCTATTAGGAATAAGTCATTTACTGTGTAATTGTTGTAATTGCTGATGCTAATAATGAGTTGCCAATTCGATGAATAAAAACGAGAAATCGTTAATCCTAAGATGAATGAGATGTGAATGGAATCCTCATAAAGATGGGAGTTGCCAATGTTCATAATGATAAGATGGAAAACGTTTAACATTTGAAATGAAAAACATTTTATTTTAATTTGAAATTTAAAATATTTAAACTAAATAGTTAGTGCGAAAAAAGTTTAGCATTAATTAGTGGCAAACAAGTGTATTAATATCCTACTTCTTTTTTAAAATCCAAATTTGAAGTTGATATAGGAGGGAAAAAGGGTTTAATATCTTTCATGCAATTTCAACTTTGTGTTCACACTTGAATGTCAATTTTAAAAAATTACATAATAAGTTTTTAATTAAATCAAAAATCAAAATTAAGAAATTAGTGGGAGACATCTAATTAATGACACACTATCATTTTTACATTGGAACCTGTAAGGTATTTAATTGTTGTATTGGAAGATGGAAGGTTCTTTACTAATGTTACTTGAAAATGGAAAACTCATCATTTCATATTTTCTTATAACCTTCAAATCATTCAGACGCTTAATCTTCTACCTCTTGTGTGTTCTCACTTGCTTGCTAATTTTGAAAATAAATAAATAACTAAAAATTAAGTTTTAAGTAAATTAAATTTCGAAATTAAAGTGTTAGTGGAAGACATCAAATTAATGTCCCACTATCATTTCTATTTTGGAATTGTAAGGTTTTTAATTATTCTATTGAAAGGTGGAAGGTGCATTATCAATGTTACTTGAAAATTGAAAACCAATCATTTCATGGAGAATATACACAACCTTCTATGCATGTTTCCCACTACTTTTAGTATGAGAAATTGTTAAATCTATTAATAATATTTGTTATTATGTCTATTGGGTGGGAAAATATTTAATATTTCAAAATTCAAACTTTTTAAATTTGAATTTTTAACTTGATAGGTGGGAAAAGAATTCTGCATTAATATTTCTGTAGTGGAAAAAATATATATAATATAATTAAATTTAATATAATAAATTATAGATTAAACAAAAAATTATTTAAAATTTATAAAAAAAATATGTATAGTTGATAAAAAAATAATTTAAATTTGAAATTTAAATGAAAAAATTAGAAATGATATATTTATACCTTAAATAAATTAAAAATTTAACTTTAAAAAGTAATATGAAAAGAGAAAAACATTTTCACACAAGTATTTTTTTTAACATAAACGTTTTAAACATATATGTATAACCAATATTAAAATATGTCTAATTAATACAAAAATATTCGATTATATTAAATGCAATTCAATTCAATTCACCAAACATTTAATTTAGCAGAATACTTTTAGTATCAACTCATATTTGTTCATTATAAATGTGTTACAAATATAAAAAAATATGTACAATGAAAATAAAAGAATTTAAATAAAAAATAAAAGAATTTAATTATATTTATATTGATTTATTTCGTGTGTGTGATGATGGTTAGTCCATTCCCTCCCAATATATATGTACACTTTTTTATTAATTTGGTGAAAATAACATAATTTATTTTATTAATGCATTTAATAATAGTAAGTTTATCTTATTGGAATGAGGTCAGTCTATCAAGCTCAATCCATAAGATTGGAGTATTTACATTTTGAAGAATGGGTATATTTCAAATCAGAAATTGTAGCTTCCGCTCCCAACTCTGGCTCCATTTTTTCCAAAACAACAATGTGGAATTTCGTTAATTGCATCATCAAGACACATTTGGCAAGCACAACTAGAAAGATCTCTGGTGCATTGAATCATCCCACCTATCAAGTTAAAAATTCAAATTTAAAAAGTTTGAATTTTGAAATATTAAATATTTTTTCACCCAATAGACATAATAACAAATATTATTAATAGATTTGACAATTTTTCATACTAAAAGTAGTGAGAAACATGCATAGAAAGTTGTGTATATTCTCCATGAAATGATGGATTTTTCAATTTCAAGTAACATTGATAATAACCTTCTTAAGCCTATTAATAATGTTTTTTTAAGCCAATTAATAATATTTATTATTATATAATTAAACTAATGAATGATCTTTTGATATTACCCTATTCAACTTCAACTATAAAGTGTTTGATAGAATATTAAACGTACGAAGTCAAATATTTTCCAACTCTTTATCTCTTATATATGTCACAAATGCATAGACCACAAAGAGTCGATTGAAAGACAACTGTAAAAAATATAGATGTATATATAGTAATCTAGATGTAACTATAAGAACAATTTTGTGTGGATAAATATAAAAACATATTATATGCTGATATAAAATGCTGACAGTTAAAGGTGACAAACTAGGCTCGGCCCGGAGGGCGAGCCCACTAACTAATTTTTATAATTAAATTAAAATTTCATCATTCTTCTTCTATAAATAAATTCCTAAATCTGATTTCAATTTTTGTAAAATTCAAAATACTAATGACACAAATCCTTGCAAAAAACATAATTATTTTCATAAAATGTTGATAATTCAAGGAAAAACTAGGCTCATCCACCAAAAAAAAAAAAAAAGGAAAAACTAGGCTTGGCCCAGAGGGCCTGCCCGCCCCATCCCGTCCCGTCCGCCAACATTTTTTTATAA